ATTGTCAGAGATAAAGAGGTCGAGAACTGAGTGGTGAAGAAGAAGAGAGGTTACATTTTCTATTTCATAGGCCCAAGCTCAATGATCTGGAAGAGTCGGGATATAAGGAAGTGTAACCCGCACAGGTACTCGGAGGAAGGAGTCAGTCAGTAGGACAACCCCGACAGCCTGATCCCAGTATCAAATGATCCAGGCCAGGTATAAATAATCTTTTAAGCAGGAAACACTTTTCAAATTTTCCTCCATTCGATAATTGTAATATGCCTTAGTCTGATTTGGTTGTACATACTCTTACAAACCCATAAGATCAGCATTAATGCACCATTCTTACCCATGTCAGGTAACAATTGATACGAATTCCCAAAGAACGGCACACACTTGGTCGGTATCGGATGGATAGATCCTTGACTCCAACTGGTTCTCGGAGCAGATGCTAAGGCGTGAGAATAAATCTCGAAAATCCTTGGACTCAAACTCGCGGAGAACAACTTGAAACAAGGGGGTGGAACAAAGAAAAAGAGAACGCCGGTAAAAGGATGTTAGGGCGAGAGAAATGAATTCTCAAAAATCTCTAAGCCCCGATTACTACTAACGAAAACTGAAACTTTGGAGTCGAAGGCTGCATCAAATTCTATGGATTGAACTTGATAAACCGAAAATGATTCAAGAGGCTAACCACCTAAAAAATCGGAAAAGTTCAAAGAAAACAAAAGAGAAAATCTCAGATTTATATGACAAGTGAATGGCAAAAATGAGAGGGGGTACAAGCCTTTATATAGCAGGCGGAGTAGTCAAAGAGACATACTCGAAAATGACAGAAAATTTATTGACCTCTTTGACTGAAATAAATAAACTAAAGACTGACTCTTCGGCTGGCCTTGACTGACTCTTGAACTGCTAAGCCAAAAATGACTTTTGAGTTGCTGACCCATGAACCAGACCGTAAACAAACCTAGGTCGAGAGATAGGCAATGGACTTAACCTCGTTAAAACCCCACTCGGTAAACCCATTGGGACAAACTCGGGTGTAAGGAAAAAGAGTATTAAGCCATAACCCGGAGTTACAGCCGGCATTTATGAGCACAGTCACAATCTTGGGTGATGCTGGGTCGCTTCCTCCGATCTTGGTCCCGTTAAGTAGAGCCTGAACTGCCCCTGCCAGCTTCTTAGCTCTGGATCGCGTCATGGGTCCATCCGGTACGGCCAAGTGTGTTTCCGGAACCTCGATTCCTTTGTCTGGGTCGTCCTTTGGGTCCATGATCGTATCAACAATGACCATTCGCAAAAGGCAGAAGAAAACTAGAGGTTCAGCAAAAAACATATCGCGTCTGAACCGCTGAACCTAACCCGTACGCTGAGAGTTAAAGGGACGCACCAAGGAACGGTCTCGCAGCAAACAGAATACGCCAAGAAAGTTGGTGAGATCGTCAGAGGCATAAAGCAAGCACAAGATTCAGATCCAATCAAGTCGGATCACATACCGATCCGCTAGACCCGTGACCCAAGGACCGACCCGGTATATTAATCTGGGTCAGGTAAAATTCTATAAATACTTTGTCCCTTCCAACGAGAAAGGGGTTCAATCTTTTCGCTATCTTAGGGCTCATGCTATCTCTCTAGATACTCATGAACCTTAAGACATAACACTTATATTTTCCGGTCATTACTCCTACCGTCTCTTCATTTTCCTCTCCACGGCGGTTCTTCAACTGTGGAGCACTCTTCCCCCCCCTCCTCCCCCGAAAACTCTTACACTTCTTTTTTTTCCACTCCAAAAAGCCTTTCACCAAACAAAGACCCAAGTAGATTTACCTTTCTCAGGTGCTCTCGGCCCAACTTTCTTCCTTTATTTTTGAAGTTATTTCCTCTCTCCGATTTGCTACTGTGTGCTCTTTCTTTTACTGTTGTTTGAATTGAGCGTTGGAGAGCCATCAGAAAACATCCTTCGATCGTGTTTTCTAGGGTTTTATGCGCTTGTTGGTTTTTAAAGAGACTTGCTTTCAAAGAAGATTAAAAATCACCTAAACACTTTTATTGTATAATTTGACATCAACTCTATATAAAGTGATTTGTGATACAAATCTGTATTAGTTTACATCAATTTTACAAAATTGAAAAGTATAGGTCACATCAATTAAATAATCGATGTAATTATTATTTTTTGTTAACATAACTTATAAAAATGATATAAAATTTAAAATCAGTAAAAAATGATGTTAATAAAATTTTATATTTGAAATTATCTGTTTGCAAATATTTGTGTATTTTAACCCACATCGCTAATTGATGAGGGGATGATAGAGAAACCATTTCTGTAAATACATACTCGAACTTAAGTGCCTAATGTTTAAGATTATTTAGCCTATTAAAACTGACTTGTTGAAGGCAAATTTTGGGCTTATATTATTAAATGATATTATTATTATTATTATTAAATGATATTATTATTATTATTAATGAAAACTATTAATAATTCTAAATTATTTATTTAACATGTGAGATAATAATAGTTTATATTGAAAAAAATTCAAATTAAATTATTTTCATCGTTTTTATCTGTTCATAATGCATGATTGATTTGGCACGCATTTGGTTATCTGAGCTAAGAGAAAACACCTAGAAAATGCTGCATTTATTTTCAGAAATAGTATTTGATGAGATAGGTGTTTTAACCATCCAAAAATGAGTTAAAGATTTTAGTAAATTTTTTCAGAATTTGGTCATTTTAAAACATATTTTTCATTATACAATAACCGACAGAAGATAAGTCTATTGATTTTTAAAATATAGTGGTCGGATCCACAAGAGTTAAGAAACTATAAATTTGTGTTCTGTGTGCAAAGACGGTTTTCAATTAATTCCCTAACAAATTATCTATCTTATTGTTGCATATTTTCATAAATTTTTTCTAAAACTAACATTTTCTCGATGAATTTATTCTTTGATTTTTATTTGGTTATTTACTTTATTTGCTAATCACCATCGACAGCTTTATTTTGTTTTGTTTTAGCTTGATTAATCTTCTAATGTTTCGTTTATGAAGTTGCTAAATTTTTGAGAATTTGATATTGTATTATGCTAATTGTAATTGTTGTGCACTTGCAACTATGTATTAGTTGAGTGAAAACTTACAAACATCAATCAATCATTGGGATGAGGTACTTATCCGATATTATAACTTGATTCAATGCTCTAAAATCAACACAGAACCGCCAAGATTTGTATTCTTCTTAACTAACAATATTGGGCTAGAGTATGGGTTGTGACTTGGCCTGAAGAACCGACATCAAGCATTTCCTGAATCAGCTTCTCCAGAGCCTCTTTACGTGCATGAGGATATCTGTACCGCTTGACACTTATTGGTCCCATGCCTTGATGTAGATTAATAGCATGCTCTCTTCCATGGGTAGGAGGTAACTCTGTTGAAACTTAGAAAACATGAGCAAACTTCTCCTATGTAACATCAATTGGTGGAGTTATATCTTAGTCCGATTTCTGTTTCATCTCTATATTTCCAAGAGTTTTAGTTACTCCTGGTTTTTGAAGTACAAACTCCGGCTGCATACACTTCAAAGACATCTTAGGTGCACCGTGCACGTCTCTCCTGTCTGAGTCAACTGTTTTCCTTGATACACAAAAGAAAATTCATGTGTCCCAATCAATATCACACTTGCCTAACGTTCTGAGTCTTTGTATACCAAGGATCACTTAAGTATTGCCAAGGTCTAAGACAGTGGAATCTGTAGAGAAGGTCAACCCTTGAATAGACAGTTGAACATTTTGGTAAGGATCTAGATCCAAACTCTTATAATTAAAACTGATAGTCTTATTGAAAATAGCAATACGATTACAATCTGAATTGAACTCTCAAAGGATATCGGAATACTCTGAATAACCTTCTCTCACGATCCGTGATCGCCTCAAGACTTAGGTCTCTATTCAACTCAAATTCTAAACGTGCCTAAAGAAATTAACCAACTATTGTTTATATAGAAAAATTGTAAAAACATAAAATAGAAAATTTCCTTTTCCTATTCTAACTCTGTTTCTTTCCCGGGAGAAACTTTCTTCTTTCTAGCATAGACTTGTAATGGCTTATCACATTTCTACAAATTTCTGACCCTTGTATTGATACTCCGTCCCCAGCAATACTTCCAAATGAAGATTAATTACTAACTTCAAATGAGTTCTCTTGACAATCTCTGGAGAAATGAAGTTATGTGTGGTCTCACTGTCCAACATAACCACCACTTGATTTATTTATTTTTTGGATACAACTGGAGTTGTGTGGATACCCACCACTTGATTTTTTTGGATAGAACCTTTCTTTTTTAGTTGTAAGAGAGCTTATACCCCAAAATGATAAGGACAGTTCCATCAATACAGGTTCTTCTACACAATATTCCTCTTCCACTTCTACTAAGCTCTGGTCCAAAATTTCCATCTCAAAACCATTAACCACTGTTAAAACTTGCAACGCTTGATTAGCACATACATGTGTTCTTGACCATTTTTCATTCACACTTAAAAGAAGAATAATAACATCTTCTTTTCTGCAATTTGCACTTCAGTCAATTTGGATGGAAGTGGCAGTCGTTTCTTAGTCTATCCTGAGATAGGGGTGATCTGTTTCATCTTCCATGGAGGAGCAGTATGATGGTTCGAATATGATTTAGAATTAGTATTAATAATTCCTGCCAACTGTTTTGTGCTTTGCTAGCAATTACCTCGTTACTACATTGTAGAGTGCGCTCGACTCGATTTGATAAGCATATGAGATTATCACAGCTAACTCTGCTGGTCTACACATATTCACAAATTTCTCTCATTACAAAATTCAAACCACTCATGAAGATCCCTTCTAGTTGCCTATAAGAATACCAAGTCTTCAAACAAGTGAATATACTTAGCTACAAAACCAGTCTGTTTAACTTTGAAGAAAGGTTGACTCGGATCTCCCAACTTCTCGTGACTGAATTTTGCTATCAACACCTTAGATGTAAGGTATCCCAAATTTTATCCAATTTTCAGCTGAGTCTATTTATTTGGGCATACATTTGTTTCTGCATATAGCTCGAGACGAAAGGGGAACATAATAATAAAGAACAGTCACATTTTTGTAATCAATCTACGACTTCAGCTTCATGTAAATTTTTTTTAAAGATGGAGATGATTATTGTTTCTTCATTTGTAGAGCTGCCTGAATCTTCTGCATGCCTCTAATATGTTGTCTCGATGCCCAAAGGCACTAACCCGAACAAACCCTTCACCTCCAGGTCCGAAGCCACTTCCCGGTGTTGTAACCACATGTGTCTTCTCTAGAATCTCGGAGAACACATCCCACGAACTCTGCTTCGGGAACTCTACCCAAACATACGGTGCATTCCTTCCTCCATACACATTGTAACCAAGAGAAGTGAATGTGTCCATGATTATGTTCGTGTTTTCTTTATAGAATCCAATCACTTTGCGCATTGCCTCAAGCCCTTCAGGGGAGAGGCAAGCAAGTCCACCAGCTTGGGAGAGATTAGATGCACCGTTGAAGCTAGTACAGACTATACGATTGAAGTCTTTAGCAACGGGGAATCCGTCTGAATACAGCAGCTGCTTTGGGATCACAGTCCAACCAAGTCTCACTCCAGTAAACCCTGCATATTTGCTGAAGGAAGATGTCTCAATCGCCACCTGCATTTCAAACAAGAGAGTTGGTTTAGTGGCATTGCGATAACTAACATACAACAGAATCACAACTTCAGAGTCCGGTTTACCTCCTCAGCTCCGGTGATTTCATAGATGGAGTGCGGATTGTCATCTGACATATACATTGCATATGCAGAATCGTAGACTATAATTGATCCGTTCTTCTTTGCAAACTGAACCAACTGTGTTAGCTGCTCTCGCGTGGCTGCAGCACCAGTAGGATTGTTTGGAGAACAGAAAAATATTATATCCGTTCGACCAACAGTGGATAAGTCAGGAAAGAAGCCATTCTCTGGAGTGCATCTCATGTACTCAATCTTCCCATACTTTTGGACACCGGTGTTAAACTGTCCGGTCTGACCCATAATAACACTGGAGTCGACATAAGCCTATGGATTAAACAGGAAAGAAAAGTGGTAAGAAATTAGCAGACTGTAGCCGGAGTTAAGTTTCATGTTTTGTCAGATTACCGGGTATGAAGGATCCTGGACTGCAATTGTAACATTGGAACCAAACATAACCTGAAAAAAGTGAAACCAAGACACAAGCACTAAGTTTCTGATATACATTGTGCTTATCTTGAATTTGTTCAGATTTATTTTGGCAAAGCAATACCCAAAACGAACCTGGAGACGTGATATGTCACATTTAGCACCATCAGAGACAAAAATGTCATCGTCCCCTATGCCAAGCCCACCGTAGAATGTTTTAGCAATTGCAGCTCTAAGTGGCTGTTAAAAGAAAAGGTTTCAATTAGTTACAAGATTTTCACCAATGACGCTACACGATTCAGAAGTATGAAAATAGGATTCTCATCTCCCAAGAACAGGTGTACTAAACACGCAGAAATGCAGAAGCTCGACGATATGATGGACTTATTACGATCCAGGTCATGCAACACCAATCGTGTAAGTGTAGTTGATAATAACGATTGAAAGGACCCAAACATTAAGATCTAACTCAAAGCTTTTTGATGACTCAAATAGAGCAAAATGCTGGTCAAAAGTGACACATTTGGTGTATCCAACTGAGCTCATATCTAAAGCTACTACAAGTACGCAAATGGTATTTTTCCAAGTAACTGCGCAAAGCACCACAATTTTAAGAACGGAGGTTTATGTAGTAACGTAGACTGCACTAACCTTTGAACCTTGTTCGGCACCATAACCACTGTAACCCTCTATTGTGGACAACTCATGAGCTCTCTGCCAAGATTAACCATAAGGATTCTCTTGAATTTAGAAATGTGTTAAGCTTCATATAAAGAAAAAAATAGAAAATAACATTACGTGACTACAAACTCTTAATCCAATTACGCCCCCAAACAGAAAAAAGGGAAATGTTTTCCTCCACAAATGCATCACATTCTTAAAACAAAAACGGAAGAGAAAGACATATTGAGACCAAAAAAAAATACCTTGGCTATTGCAGAAGTAATAACTTCTGGAATTGGCTCAGTTGTGTCACCTATCCCAAGACTTATAATTTGTGCATCTGGGTATTTCACCAAATGTGCAGATCTTCTTCTGGCAATCTACTAGCATTTTCACAAAGAAATTGAACAGTGTCACAATAGTTACATTAAAAAACATTTTCTAAAACCAAAAAAAAAAAAAAACAGAAAACAGAAAACAGATTCTGATACAAACCTCTGGAAACAAGTACCCAGCCTGAAGTTTGGACATATTTGAGTTCCTTGAAACGCTTGTCTTATATTCTATAGATAAAGAACACAAACAACATTGAGTATTAAGCAAACTAACCAAAACTTTCACTGGAAGTTGAGATTTTGAAAGAGAAATATTTACCAATCTTTTCTGTTGGAGAAGCGTCACATTTGCAAAAATTGATCCTTTTAGCAATTGGAAACGATGCATTTCGATGTCTGAAACATTAGAAAGAGTAAAGACAAACAAAGAACTAAGAGATTAGTTCAGAGAAAAAATGATGAACACATATTGTATATCCCTCTAATTTCTGGAACTAATCCAAAAGAACAGTACCTGGGATGTAAATTTGAAGGGGCCAAAAATGTGGATGAAGAAGAAGAGATCATCGAAGAAGAGAGCTGATTGGTCAACGACATTTTTCTCGGCCTCGAACAAAGATTTCAAATGTAGAAAAAAGGCAGCAATTTGAGGGCAGCGCACACTGACAGTCACAGAGTCGTATCTCAGGTTTTATGTAAGAGTGATAAAATTAGGGTTCGTTATTTCGGTTTGGTCCGAGATTCTGAGGGAAAGCAAACCGGTTTTTTGTCTAACCGGCCTACCCATCATTGTGACCAATCCGGTTTTAAATCACAACAGCTCTATTCTGTTCAATGCTGGTGCGTTTTAGAGTCACTCAATGTATGTGGACTTCCCAAGACATCACACTTACCGCGACCAATACCCATTAGTTCCAACGACTCTTTTGCTCATTCATTTTTGTGATCTGTTTACTTATATTCGCTTATGACCATTGTACTAGAGTCTCTATATATATAATCTTTGTTCACTTCCATTGTAAAGCACCCTTCATCATCGAATTATTAAGTAAAAACGTGAAGTTTGTTTCTCCAAAGTGTTGTCTTTATGTTGTGCATTTGAGTTAGTCTCGATTCACTACAAACTTGTGTGTTGCGAGTCAAGATTACTTGTGGATTCAAGATGTATTTTGAAAGCAAACAGAATTATCAAATTACAACAATAACAATTATGTCATAGTAGAAACATATTTATAAAACTTTATACAAGAAAATAACAACAAAATACTAATGAAAATATATAAAATAACAACTCGAACCTGTACAAGGTGCGCCCCAAATCACTAGTGGTGTTATAAAACATGAATCAGCTTAGAGGATGAATCAGAAAATGAAGAGGAACTCATCTGCAATTTTGTCGTATATTCCCGGAAACGAATTCTGAATATGAAAATGTCTCAGTGACATTTCAAGACCATATTATCATAGAAAATGAATTTAAATGCCCAACAACTCCTAGTACCATAGAAGAGTAAGAAGGGTTAAATGGTACTTTGAAAGTGGTTGTTCAAGGCATATGATAGGAACGAAATAATATCTAACTGAGTTCAAGGAGATTTCAAAGGGTATAGTTATCTTTAATGATGGAGTAAAAGGAAGTGTCAAATGTAAAGGTGTGATAGGAGGTATAGATCAGTCATCAGTCATCAGTCATAAATGTGTAATTTGCTGAAGCTTTGAAAGCCAATCTAATCTGTATAGGACAAGTATGTAATCAAGGGCTCAAAGTTATTTTTACACGGGGGACTAGCTAATGTCAGTCGTTTGGTTCTTTTTTCAGCTTTTGTTTGTTTTTTTATTAGAACATGTTGTGTTTGAGGTTCTTTTGTGTCATCACTCTTAAAAAAACTCCTTTGTGTTTTATTTTCAAGTCATGATGTATTTCAGATGAATTTCAAATTTTCCATCTCGAATCTTTGGGATTATCGGCTCTTGTGTGCTTGTGTTAGTGTGTATGTGCATGTTCGTTTGATATTTTGCAGAGAGTTTGGAAGGAGCAAACTAGGTTAAAAAGGGGGAGATTGAAACTGCAGCATTTTATGTCACTAGCAAAGAGCCACATGAAGTATCGCAGGATTCAATGAGTTTAGAATTGCTGACGTGGAGCTGAATAGCTGAGCTAGATGAGTAGGAATGTAGGATGATAATAAAAGCTAAGGAGTTTTCTTTATAACACAGACTCGAAGATATTTCATCTTGTGATAAATAATAAAAAATTAGGTGTCTGTCCGCGGCGCGAGGACACAATTATCATATAAATCTTATTATAATTTGATTATTGAAATTTTTGTAACATAAACATCATATTTTTATTTTCAATAATTGAAACTAAAATATTGTATAATAAATCATACAAATACTAAAATAAATCATGTAATAAGATCCAACACACAAGTTTTAAGTTATATAAATACTTATAAAAAGAAATTAATAGAACACTACTCTATTAAGTATTGTTATAAGTTATATTTCCGTCTTGTGTCTAAAATGTGCTCCACCTCTCTCGAATCCTGGAGGTTTAAGAGACATATACATACTATAAGATTGTTGTATATACAAAATTCTCCAATTATAATTTTCAGATTACTTACTTTCTCTTAAAAATCAGGGCATCATCCGTAGTGGGATCAAGGAGAAGACGGGAAAAACCAATTGCTTCATGTGAATGGATAGTTATTTCATCTACACGTATAAAATTATTATTAGGAAATATACATGCAAAATAAATATAAAACATATATTGCACAAAATAAAAATAATAATGACATATGCTTGATTATCCATACCTTCTTTTTTATTTACACTCCAATCGGTTAATACAGAAACCGCAAAAGGACCAATGAATCATTTGGTTCTTTCTTTGAAATCAGCGGCAAAGTCTCCATATGCGATGCATTTCAACTTCACATCCCTTTGATTTAAAGAATTTAAGTTACAAACTTTGTTACCAAGACATAGTGAACGTGAGAGAAAATATAAACTTACTGAGATCTGTGATGGTGAAAGTTATTTTCTGAATAATATATCAGGGTTATTCTCTGTTTCAATGTCACTAACATTTTTCATCACACCAATGAGATCTACAAATCAATTATGAGAGAAATATTTATCATAAACGAAATTCATTTATTTTATTTTCTATATATGTACAAATTTATAGATGAAATCACTGAAACGAATATTAGAAGTTAATCTTACCAACATGATACAACTGAGCGTAAGAAATTCTGTATATCTCACTAGAATGGACAAATTTCGTGAAGGGATCCATTGTCAATGGTCGTAGACTTGAGACTTCTGTCCCAGTAGTGAGAATGATCTGATAATTGTGTCTCGTTGTTCTTCCCTCATTCTTCCATTCAGATGGTATCAAGCCGAATTTAGACAATTCAAGCCATCGTCCTTCGGTCCCAACACGGTAAAAATATGGAAAGGCGAGGTTACCACATGAAGCATTAATTCTACAACCCTATATACAATGAAATTTGCAAAGAGATCAAACAAACAATAAATATAGACAAAACAGTTATATATTCATATTAGATAATACTTACATTTTCGTCGACTAAAATGAAATTCAGTCCTGGTAAGCCTTGACGATCAGGTTTATTCCATCTTTTCAAAACTTTGACACGGATTTTATAAGAAGTAATTTAAACTCAAATTATAATAAATTATTATTTATTAATAATCGCAAAACAGACTTGTAAATACAAAAAATGTGTCTAACAAAACTAATAATATATATGGATTATCAATTTTGAATCCTTTTAATTGACCCAATCCATTAGACATCATATGTATCAAGCCCATATAATCTCTCTCTAATCCTGAAATTTAAATTTATGAAAATATTTTTTTTCATAAGTCAATCTAAACAACACATAGAAACATACTTACCTATTGTGCAAGGTTAAAACTTCAGCAATAGGTGAATCAGTGATAAAACAGGACACACCATCACCATCATGGTCCTTGATAGACACATTCTCTAAAACATATATATTGGAATATTGTTATGTTATATACAACGATTTTATAAATAACATATTGATGTATCATCAGAAAACATACCCCCCTCAATTGCTACACACCAATCGGTTAACACACATATAGCAAAGGGACCTTCGTATTCTCTACACTTATCTCTTATTTCAGTTGCCAACTCACCGTGTGCAACACACTCTAGCATAAACTCCCTATATTTTGACAAAGAATATAGTTTAGGTATGGTCGCCAATGTCACATACTTACCAACCTGCTTATTCGAAACAATCAATGACAACCACCGATACAGAAATTTTTTTATAAACAAAAATGACAGAGTATCGCATATTCACATACCGTATCGATCGAATGTATAGAACTTAACTTTCGCCTAATATTAGTTCTCGAAAATTCATTATTTAATGAATCTTTAGAATCTACACCCGAATCATCTTCGTTAGGAATGAGAATATACTTATCTTGAGGCAACCTTAACGGAAAAAAATACAAAAACTAATTATAGTAGAACGAACAAATGTACAAATAAAACCGAACTGTAATTTCATTGAATAGATTTTTACTCAGATCGGAATTTCGCCACCAGAGGACACACTGGATCAAACAAAATCTGAGTTGTATTAAAAGCATTTGAGACGCTCATCTCATCTAAAAAGTATAAATAAATCGGTATTTCAGAAAAAAATATAATTATGTCAAAATTGTTCATAATCGTCGCTAAAATTGAATCAGTATAAATTATTAAATAATATACCTCGATAGTTTTTGATACATGCAAGCCTTATAATAACCACAACGACGGATGCGCAATTACGTTTAACGTAAGCAGCAACTTCTTTTGCATAATCAGCCCAAAGAGTACACGGTAATTGTAGGTCGCTGTTATAATTAATACATGATCATGAGTTAAATCATATAAGTAAAAATAATACAAGATAAAATAAAATATTAAATTAGAACTAAGTATGTTACCTCTCATCTCTAAGATAAATCTTAAGTCTAGAACAACGTTTTCTTTGAGCCATGACGTCCTCAACATGACCAATTCTTATGATTTGTCCGACCACGTCTTAGCGTTTATAATAAAGTAACACGAAACAAAAGAACCAAAACAATTAGCCAACAGCTATCTAATGCAGAAAGTGTTTAATACCGTGTCATAAAAAATGTTAAATAAACTCTACGTCTCAGTTTAGGTATGGTACCAATCAAATAGCCATTGTCCAAATCAGTTGATAAAATATCTGGAAAACTTTTCATATATTTCTCGGGAATTTCCTGAGGAAAATCCAAGCATCCAGAGACAGTCGTAGTTGCATAAAACACCATCTTGAAAGGTGTTCGTGTAGTTCGATTCTCAGAATTATACTCAACAACCTTAAAATTATTGATAAGCACCGATCTCCCCTCGATCAAATCTTTACAAAAAGATTTAGCGAAATATCTTTCAACAGTTGCTTGTATCCTATCACCCTGAGTTCCAAAGTACAAAAAAAAAAAAATTAACTAATAACTAATTGGCTAACCGGGATATTCATAAATTATAGCACTAACCTCTTGATCAACTAAGACCATCTCAACTGAACACCCCCCTCTGCCTTTGAATCCATCCCAAACCTT